TAGATGCCTTTGACGTATTCTCTGACCGACAATGACGTCATGCCGTAACTGTCATGAGGGATGCCGCCTAACTTGGGGGACTTTCCAGTGAAAAACGATTTCCACCACGGAGCATTTCGCTTGCGAGCGTGCTCAGTAGCCCAGTCAACAAGATCAGCAGTGTTTTCATCGGGACCCATGAAAAGAATTTCTTCCTTGCCATAAAGATCAACGATGGGATTCTTGATACCAGGGGACGAAGGCGGTAAGAGAAGATCCATGATACTGTCAATATACTTCTCGAAAGCCACACTGGCTTTGTCTTGCTGATTGGAATCTAAAAGAATGACACCCTTGGAGCCACCCTCCGGAATATCCTTGTTCTTGCGTTGTTGAGTATTGGCTAGACCATAATTTTCGTCAAACATCGAACGAGCATTGATAGAGTATGCTTCACGATTTCGAGATTTAACAATTCGAATACCACCTCTAGCAATATCCCTGAATCTGAGATGGAACCCACGTGATTCGGATGTAATAACCAAGAACATGCCATATAATGGCTGAGGATATTCAATTTCAGGAAGAAACGAAGGATCGAGACGGAAGCTCAATGCAACTTTTGTAGGAGTGTAAAAGTTGGTTTTCAACAGGGAGTTGTTGAAGATGCGGAACGCAGTCATAACCATGTCTTCGTGCTCATTATTGACAGTCCTCGAGATCAGCTCTTTGAGTTCCTTATCGTTGAGAACGTCCCCAGATGGTGAAGGTGGAATGGAGTCCTCACTGTATCCAGGGCCGATGGTAAGATGTGTGTTTGCGAACGAAGCGTATAGTGAACGGACAAGCTCCGGATGATTGCTGATAATCTCGAGAATGTAATCCGCAGTGAAAGTCTCGGTACGCAGTCTGCGCTTAATGGTAGATAGAATCTCGGCATGAGAGCTGTTGTTTGGATCCAATGCAGATACTAATGAGGAGTACTCAGAGCCCAAGCGGTTGAGAAAGTGCTGAACAAAAACCCAAACACAATGACCATAGATTGTTTCCTGAAGACTTAAGCGCCCACTGGCAAACAATGCCTGGAATTTGTTCTGTGGTATGCAGTAAAGCAGGGAAATCTCCTTGGTGATTTGATGAATAGATTGTTCAAGGGTAGGGAATTTCGTTGTCAAGTCGCTTGCAGGCTTGAGATAAAGACTCATGACAGTGATACCATTGCTGAACTGCTCAACATATTTTCTTGAGCTTGTTACACCGTATGAGTGATACAGGTCACTCAGAGCACTGAACAATCCGAGGGCTGTTCTACGTCTGAAAGCCACAACCAATCTCTTCTCCATTGAGTCTTCAATATCAAAGACCTCGATGACTGGCCCAGTACGAGAGACCGCAAGCTCAATGATCTCTTGATAAATTTGCTTCGTATTCTTGGTAGATTTTGCTAGAAACATTCTGTCACTGATGACTTCTAGGCGAGTTTCGCTGGGTGATGGGTTAGAGTCAACGAATTGACACTGATAGACGAAGTAACAGCGTATCGAGGACTTTGTTGGGACGGAACCACTATACAAGTTGCTGGTAGAGCGGAAGCTCTCGACCCGGAAGAGTTGATTCGAGGATGTATCCAAATATTTGGCCTCTAGTCTGTGCTCATATCGTGGGCCACCAATGGCACTAACACCGGGCTCGCTAGTATCAATATATATGGCGTGATCTGAAGATTCCATGTCCAATCTGATCTCTTGACGCTTGTCTTCGCGAGCAAATGCAGCAACCTTTGCAGCATAAAGCGAAGTTATATTGCTGACGACGGCTTCAACGCTCTCGGTCTGAAAGTAGACATCGTCGATCCCAAGCTCATTATAGAACCATTCCAATTGTGCGTCAATGAGTTCAGCTGGTATCCATTTCATTGCCTTGATCTGCTCTCTCACTTTGGAGGATTAGCGTTGTACATTCATCACAGCCAGAGTTGACTTACCTTTAACCATCTGTTCTGTCCTGCCTGCGAATTCTGGTGCAACATATCCAACAGTGGCGGAACGCAAGACGCGGTGACCATTTCCATTGCCATTTCTGTGGGGCATGTTGAAATGTGTTGGTTGTGGTGAAGGTTGTCGACCAGGAGTTCGGATGACCTGGTCCACCAACTTATGGGGAGAACGGGGTGTTGAACTACTGATAGTAGCCATGTTTTCTTCTGTGGAAAGAAAAAACTGTTCGTCGTATGCGGGAAACTGCTGAAGAGCACCCATTGAGTCAGCATTGATAGGGGAAAGAATCGTCGCCATTGTGACTGGTGGTTGTGATGTATCAATCAACACCGTCCGCTAAATGACCTGCACAAGGTATGTGAAAAAGGGAAAAGTAAGTGAAGATAGACCCAAAGGTGAAGCAGGTCATCAACGCCTATCTATATCGGCAAAGCCGGTAAGAAAGGGTCAATTGATGGATGGAAAAGGAGTCAGGAATCATGTTGACAATGCAACTCCTAGATTCCTTGACCGCTTCGTATCTTGGTATTACTTGCATTGCCTGCATTGCTTGGGAAGGAAGCTTATCAGTCGATTCCACTCCAAGAGCAACCTTGATCTCAGAACAGTCCGAGGGCGGTTGCTTGGGATAGAAATTTGGACTTAATTGATCTCCAAGTTGGTAAAAAGGGAACCTGATAGCGCCAAGCCTGTGTTTCCCAGGGCAATGGAGGCGTTTATTTTGATAGGAAGCGATAAGGAAAATTCATGTGGGTTTCAGAAAAAGGATTGGAAGATCTGCGCCACGGATTAAAAACGTACCTGAGAGATAAAAAGTTGTATCACATACACCAGTACCAATTATATGTGGCAAAGGGTTGGTGGTAGTGTGTACTTTCACAAAAGTGTATTTTACAAGAGATGTAAGTTGGTAAGTGATGTTGTAATTGCGTTGGATTTAAGAGTTACTGGAACCACGAAGTGTCGTCAAATGTATGGAAGGCTCCCGGTTAGGAACGGTTGGTTTCAAGAGATTTAGTGAAATTGAAGGCGGCTCAAGAGGTGGATACAAATGTAATTGGGCGATCTAGAAGCCGTATGGCGAATTGCGTGGTGCAAAGTATTGAATGAATAAAGACTTTTTTTTTGTTGGTCCGTATCGTCACGTCGCCGTAAACCTATTTGATCGAATTAGAGGGGATGTTGAACACCGTAGCGGGACTTGGGATACGTACTAAGCAGGGCTGATAATCTAGAAGACGATGAATGATGGGTGTCTTCAAGTTCCAGGGGGTGAAGATAGTCTTATCTTTTGCTCAACCACAGACAATCTGACAGGTAGACGACTCTGAGAGCGGTGACAGTGAAGAACTAAGAATAGGAGGATATGGATTGAAGATGCTTCTTTTCGTCTTGCATTCCTCGTATTGAGTGATGTATGCAGACACAATATGATTGTTGTTGCTGCTTGTTTCAAAGATAAGAAGAGAAAGGCAGAGGGCAAAGGGAAAAGAAAGGAGCAATCTGAGTCAGAGTTCGAGATAAGATGAGAAAGAACTGGAATGCTCTTGTTATTTATATCGTGATGAAGGATTGAGGTTTGATCTTGAGATTGATCTTGATCTTTGATATGCTCGCCCTTTCAAGGTTCCAAACGACAAAGTGGCAGCAGCAAGTGAATCAATTTATAATAAATCATAATTCTCCTACTTTCCCTACTGCCCGTACCTCAAACTCAAAAGTCTCAATTGAGTAATAAAAAACAGTTTCAAGAATGAGGGTTTTTTTTGGCTCGTTTTTTTTACTTCTCCCTCGCTCTTTTCCCCTCATACCTCTCATGCCTCATGCCTCCTGCCTCATGCCATGCCTCATGCGGTGGTTGCTTGCTTTGATTTGCCCTCTTCTGGAATCTTTTGGTCTGGTTTGACATATGTTCAGGTCAGGTTCCAATGCAACGATTACCTACCTAGTGGCTAGTCGCTCGTGTGGTTCGGACGGGAGTTTTGTTGTTGGTGGTACCTGACGATCTAGTAAGGTGTAAGGTACAGGAAGAAAAATCGATCAATTGATGTTTACCGCTCTTTAGCGTCTGTCCTCCCTGTCTCCTTCCCAATTAATGGGTAGGTGGCTCGAGTGGGTAAGCGGAAATCCATTTTTTTTTTTGGCTGGTCGTGCTGGTTCTGCTGGTTCTGCTGGTCGGTAAGCGGTTATTCGAGGCACATCTTAGATATTGCAACCCTGTGGCCAACCCTGTGGCCAACCCTGTGAGCCGATCGAGAGATAGCAGCGTAGGATAATTTATTAATTGACTTAACCGTCTTGAGGTATATTGCACCCCTACCCTGCCGTCTCGGGTGCCAATCTATATTCCATTCATCGAAACTCCAGTGCGGTGGCAGCGTGGCCTGTGTAAAGTCCAAACGTAGACAGACTTCAATTATCCGAATTATCCACTACGGACTACGAGGCACAAAGTACCTTTCCGTTGGGTATCGTCATGTTCCATGTTCCATATCTCTTCCAGAAGAATAGCTATTCTTATGAATCCTATCACTTGATCTTCCTAAAGGGGGTTGGTTTTCAACTTTTCCTTCTCCTTCGAAAGCAAGGAGGAAGGTCTAATTCCTATTCCCTATAAAGTTACTTCCCTCGTACATACTGGAAAGGGTTGAAAACGCATAGAGTTTTCCCAAAAATGATATTGCTGCTTGGGTAACCTCGATGTCAACGAAGCCTATCTCGTAAAAGTAACTGCATCCCGACTCCCGAGTAATCAAAAGGAAGATCTGAGGCAATTTTGGAATCTATTTTTGGGTGAATGCGAGAATGCTCAGTACCGGTCCGTCCGTATAAGCCCCAGTTTGCCCAGCCACGAATAGTTTCTGGAATATAGGTCATCACCAAGCCAAGGATATGCTGTACCCTGATATTTTATAGTATGCTTGGTGCATGTCGTACAATCTCTAGACAGTTTTTTGGGGGGGAAGGGGGGAAGGAAACCAAAAGCCATTCAGAAAGTCCCCCCCAGTGATAATATTTCCAATCAATCTGTCTCCTTGACACCGTCCTTCCGCAAGGCCAAAGGAATAACACTCAATGTGCAGTAGATTATTCATATTTAGAGGTTACCCAAGTAGGTTATTCTTCCACACGAGTCATCATTCACGTTTGGCTGCATGAAGCAAAATCTACCTCAACACTCGGACTACCCTAACTACATACTCCCTAAAAACAATAAGAACAATTACAACAATAACCAAAACAACAAGAAGAAGCCCTTGAAGCCTAAAACAACGGCTCATGGAGAATGAACAAAGTCCTCTTTCTCTCTCCACCACAATCCACAAATTCGCTGTCTAGATTTTGTCACTCCCCCAGTCTCACATGGCGGATCTCCAAAACACGAAGCCGAAATGACTAATTCCCTCACGGATCCCGTGATATTCGTTCTCATGACCATCAGACCTCCAAATTTGGCCAAAACGCCATAGAGTCGACAAGGATATTTCAAAACAAGTTCAAGAGATATTCCGACTAGATTGAACCATATTATTAAAATAGCAATAGTGAGACTCATACACCAACAACAATCACGAAAACGAGAAAGGACAATGAAAGCAGTGCAAATTCATGACCTAAGCGAATCAAAGGTTTGTGAGTAATGGGATATTAGCGCTCTCCATATGGCAGGTTTCAATTCAATCAATTCAGACAAGATTTTCCCATTCATTTCTCCATGTTTCGCCATTGTTCTCCATATTTCCCCATTCTTTTTTTTCCCAAATCACGCTTTCCTCTTTTCACTTTAGCTTAGAAGACTCTTTCGTCAACCCCGCCATTTACTATTCCCCAAATTGATTTCTCTTACCCCCAGGAAATCATTCTCCAACGTCAACCTTACTCAACCTTACTCAACCTTACCTCAACCGTACTCAAAACTTCATCTCCTACATCCAATAGAACATCCCTTTCCGCCCATCTGTCTCCTGACTGTGACAAACGCATCTCCTCATCCCTCATCACCTGTCGTCATTCGGGGTCTGGATTGTATGTTGAGAATTTGTTGGAATCTCATGACTAAGAGTTTGCATTTTTCATTACACATCAGTCCATGCCATTACTTGGGTCCAGAGGTTCAAACAAGGTCAAGAAGACAATATTCCACCATTGAGTCTCACACTTTCCCAGCTTCCCAAGGACCGTGTTGGTTTCTCTTACCCCAGATTGTGTCACCTGCCGCTAAAAACGACTCTTGATTCAATAAGCGCCGATTCACCGTGTTGGATCCTCACCCTAACCTCTTCACGGCACGCAATTTGATTCCCGAATTTCTTCATATAGTACTCCACAGTGTTCTATACTACACCGCTAGGTTAACGCAACCTTTCCATCGTTAAGTAATAGTGCAGTGAACCCGCATATTCAAATTACATTACGTTTCTCTTTGTCTCATGGCTTCCTCAGAGAATCATATTGGTCATGAGCAACAGGATCAGCACGGACATCGAGATCAGCACATGAACAGCAGAGAATATGCTGTGTCCCAAGATGCTCAGGATCCTCTTCGTCAGATCAGAAATGAATTTCTCATTCCTTCTACGGCTGATTTGCAAGCCAGGACTTTGTCAAGTTTAGGTACGAGATTCTACTCCAGGTAGTTGGAATATGTTGACTAAATGGCACCTTAGAGTCTCGAACTTCCTCTCTTGGCGATCCCTGTGTTTACCTTTGTGGAAACTCACTTGGCCTACAGCCGCGTACTACCTCTACTCGCATAGAACAATATCTCAAGACTTGGGCAACTCAAGGTGTATTTGGTCATTTCAAACCCCTTTCTGATTCACCTTTGCCAACATGGCTACATGCAGATTCAAGTGCTTCGGAGAACATTGCTCCTATTGTTGGTGCGGAACCTTCGGAGGTCAATGTAATGCAGACTTTGACTGCCAATTTACATCTTCTCATGTCTGCATTCTACAACCCTGATGCTAATGGCAGGCACAAAATCATATTGGAAAGCAAAGCATTTCCATCAGATCACGTGGGTAGCCCCTTTTGCGATAGTCACCAATCGTTTATGGCGGCTAAATTACATACAGTACGCCGTAGAGTCGCAGATCCGGCATCACAATCTCTCACCTGCCACATCGATGATTACCCTGGAGTCGCATTCAATTACCGAACCCACACTCTCCACAGATTACATACTCAAAGCCATTGAAACCCACGCTAAAGATACAGCGATTTTGATACTCCCAGGTATTCAATTCTATACAGGCCAGTTATTTGACATACCCCTCATCACACGCCGGGCTCGAGATCTCGGCATATTTGTCATTTGGGATCTCGCTCATGCAGTCGGAAATGTTCCACTGTACCTTCATGATTGGGACGTCGATGCAGCTGCCTGGTGTACTTACAAATACTTAAACTCAGGACCGGGTTGTATCGGTGGAATGTTCATTCATGAAAGGAACACTCAAGTGTCCGCTTCGTTACAGAGCACAGAAGCGGGGGCAGGATTTGTAAATAGATTAAGTGGCTGGTGGGGCAATGACAAAAATACGAGATTCGCCATGGAGAATCGATTCGTGCCGATAGCGGGCGCTGCGGGGTTTCAATTGAGTAATCCAAGCGTGCTGGACATCACGAGTCTAAATGCATCTTTGGAAATATTCAAGCTTGCCGGTGGGATGGAAATGTTGAGGGCGAAATCTGTGGAGCTGACTGCTTATTTGGAGGATTTGCTTTTAAATACAGCGATCTTTGAAAAGAGCAGGTTCTCAATCATTACCCCTCGAGACAGAGAGCAGAGGGGTGCTCAGCTGAGTCTCCAACTCGCTGATGGATTGTTGGATGTAGTCATGAAAGAACTGGAGTTGAGGGGAGTGGTCGTAGATGAAAGACAACCCAATGTGATAAGAGTGGCGCCGGCCCCTCTGTACAACAGCTTCGAGGATGTATGGAAGTTTGTGAGGGTATTCAAAGAAGCAATGGACATAGCTTGGAAGGCAAAGCTTGGAGAAATATCTGCCGAGGGCACACGGGAATTAGAATTGACCACCTGAAGAGATAATATGTCATCGCAATGGCAATCAAGTCGATCAAAACAATTACTTCCATGTGTCAAGTGCACGTAGTATAAGCTTTAAGTTATCTGAAAGTTTTTGTCGCACGTGATGCAGTGATGTGGAGTTCGATTTTCGATTTTCGTCCGACTTGATGATCTAATCTGAACCATCTAAATGCTGCTTACGTTTCTGTCAAGTTTACTGACTTCACAGGCAAAGATTTGACCTTGTTCACTAGACCATTCTGATGTGCATCAAGTATGGCGAACGGGCTTCCAAGTGGGTTTGAACCTTTCATATGAAGCTTTGAATAAAGTCTAGCCAATTCCAACCTCCCCATTTAGACCATTGCCTGTTATCTTTACGTCCGACTCATCATATTCAAAACTTGCATTGTCCAAGGCTGACCACTAGTCGTACAACATCTTTCGCCAAGAGTTCTGGGCAATCTGTACTACAGAGCTTGGCCGCTACCCTATGGATAAAAGGAAAATAGGAGAATATTCAAAAGGACACATGCATTACGCAACACTGAGCCAAAGGAATAAATCATCTCGCAAGGCGAATATGCGCTGGTGAGGAGAAAAAAAACTAGACGGTTTTTGCACCTGCACTTGTGTGGACTGTCTACGCTGCACAATGCGGAAAGCAGAAACTGTGCATGTATTTATCAGTTTTTTGAGTTGATTGTAGCACTTGATCATATCAAAGTCTTTACAGCACAGTAGAATATCAAATTAAAATACTAGGGGCTGGGGTTACAGATTCGTGTCTGCTGCATATTACACTAGTTCCTCGAGGGTAATGTAGATAAAGAAAACTTGCTATGGATATTTTGATCTTGCTATTTTGATCTTGACAATTTTCGGTATCGATTATTGATCATGATTAATGGGGGGGGGGGGTGGAACTTGTCCCGGACATACCAGACATGGCAACACTCCAGTATGTTTGAAGAACGTGGATATTAACTTTCAGTACCATGCAGTCCCTGTAACTCAGGCGTTTTGAATCCGCAATCACGTTTCTAACATGGCTTTGTACCTCGAATACCTAGATGAAAATGTGATTGTAAAATTTTGGTTCAAATTAACAGTCTTCACAGTGAGGACAATTGTCTACTTCAATAGCGACTTGAAATACAAGAACACTCAAATCATATGAATATACTGATTGTCCAACAGAGTGCTCTTGGATTTGAATGGTTGCCAATTGCCTCTCGATGTTTCACATATATCCAACTCTCCCCATCTCATCAGCTAGTTTGGAATCCTCTAGTCCCTAAGACATACATTTATTTTGTATCTTTCCCTTTGAACGAGTACAGGGTTTGCTGGGTTTCGATCGTAAAGACAATAGAGATAAGTGAAACTTGTACTTCAATGTCTAGTTTGTGCACATAGTATCATTACTGCGAACTACATCCAGATAGCTAATGGCTTTTGCCAGTAATCTACGCTTACAGCTTAAGTCGAATAAACAAACGAAATTACCATCGATCAAGTGATTTTGGTTCGTGCGGATTCGCAGGAATTTTTTTGATCTCAACCGCGTCAGTTAAAGGGATTCGTACTTTGCAACATTTCAGTCATTAAATTGAATATTATATATGAGCGCAAGAAATCCTTCGATTGTCAGATTTGAGGTAGAATGTTGAGAGATATTAGTATTACTATGATGTGCGTATTCTTTAAACACGATATTATTACTTCCTCATATGAAAGCAGGTCGACATGCAACTTATTGGGGACCCAAAACAGAAAATCATACGTCAGGGCTCATTCGAGCTTCATGAAAGGCTCATTGACATACTAACAAAAGATCAATCCAGACAAATGTTTGCTTATAGCAAAACGATGGATTATCTATGGACCCATGCGTACTCACCTAGCCTTTCCCTGGAGCCATCATGCCCTCTCCAAAGCTCTTTCCCAGACACGCACTGTGCTCTCCCAAACGATCTCTCCTGCATTTACCTTCCTGTAACTCGGAAAAACGTCACCATCAGGTGCACTCTCATCATCTGCCTTGAGCCTGTAAACCCCATTCAAATTCCCATTTTCGTCGACCACCGAACTCCTTGCAGTCTTTACACCCGCAGGTAGTTCTACGCCCGAACTAGCCCCCTCTCTTAATTCGGTAGTTGGACACCTCGCACTAGTTGCCAAAAATAATCCCCTTTCTCCCGCTTCCTCCACACTCATTGCAAATAAGTTGAGAAAAGGTAACATCACCCATCTAAAGAAAGTTGATGGAATGGCATAAAAACCCGTTGTAGAAGACATCAATCTACCAAGAGCCCCAGTATCCACAAATCCCGGACACTTGTGAATGGAACTTATGCATGACTTCGACTTCGCCAGTTCTTCGAAAGCTAGAGTTGTTTGGGTTGTTCCACTACTAGCCGCTTTAATCATGGTGAAATCTTGCTTTACTTCGAGATCGTCGAGATTAATCGATTTCTCTTGCCCCCCCCCCCCCCCCCCCCCCCCCGCTAAGATTGAAATAACTCGGGGGTTGGGGGAGGTTTGCAGCAGGGGAACCAAGTTGTAGGCGAAACGGGAGACGAGAATAGTAACGGAGGGATTGAGGGATGTCAATCCCTTCAGATGATTCTGGACAATATCAATACATGGTGGATAGAGAGGTGGCTATGACTAAATATACATTTCGACCATCGAAGGACAAATAGCCTGCACTCATGAATACGATATCGACCTTTTCTTCTTTCCTCTTAATCTCATCGCAAAGTCTATCCACTTCTCTGATTAAAGAAATCTCGCCTTCAAGGAAGTTTAGTGTTGCTGACGGATTTGAAAGTCTCAGATCGTTGAGTAGATGCCCTGCAGCTGATTCCGATCGTCCAATGATATACGCCTTGGGAGCATTTGCGTACTTGATGAATGCTTTTAATGTACCCATACCAATACCTGATGTTGCACCCGCAAACACGGCAACCATACCAGGAGTTCCTTTAGCTTTGAATGCCGCATTCGAGGCCTGAACAGCATTGATGGCGACCATAATGCTGTCAATTTGAATGGGGGCTGGATATTGAGACATTGTTTGAAATGTAGTAAGGCTCGAGCAAGGGTAGCAGAGCTCACGATCTTATGGAAACAACGGAAGGAGAGAAAATTGAGGGATGAATGATCTGAACGAATAACTTACATGTTAGAGTAGAGTCTTACCTGATATATATAGCCGGAAGCATCATACCATCACAGTCACTTATTATAAGTCTCAATTTGATGTCAAGCTGTATGCATCTCGGATTCATGAAAGTTGGAGGATGAATGCGAGTATGGGCCGAGCTTTATCTCCTAACTATTTATAGATGTCGCCGACAACAGAAAGAGAGAGGAGATCAGGGTACAAGTGCGTCGTGCTGACACACAACACAGGCCTCTTCCAAAGGAAGAGCAAAAGAGCAGATTAAATTGCTGACTAAGAAGAATTTGATCAAAAAAGTGCCAAGAATTTTCTCGGTGAAAAGTGCTTTTAATGCTTTTCAAAAGCCTTCTCCTCATACTTCGGAAGAGGCACACATCACGTAGCATGAATATGAATATGAATATGAATAGGAGTAAGTCTAGTTAGACTTCCAAAGATTGAATACAGTTCTGTTCATTGGATGGCACAAAATGTTATCAAATTATGTCATCAATTAAAGTCTATTCATAAGTTCTGTCGGAAAAACTGCGGTCGAATAAATATTGCCCATCTTGACCGCTATTGCTGAGCAATGTTTGTAACTTTTGATAATTACATTACCTAGCACCTACGAACTGTCGAACGTTGTAACTTTTTCCGTCTTCCACCTTCAAGCCAATACTCCGATTTTGGTTCCAGTTGAACATGGCGACCCATTCTCTTACACGCAGATGTGCTGGACTTACCTCTACAAGTCCCACATCAGTAGTTCAAGGATTTATAAAGACCGCCACAACAACCCGGTCATTCCACCACAACACCCCGCGTCCAGTCTTGGATTTTCTTGTTCCACGTTTGGGTATTCCCTTGCAGTCGGCATATGACCTCAAGCAGAATGAGATAATAAAGAATTCCTTGAGATGTTTCTCGACCACTAGGACACGAAAAGCTACCATGACCACATTCAATCCACAAAAGAACGAAGATGGCACAGAACAGAAGATTGAAATCACATCGCGTGCTGCAGATGTATGTATCATTGCCTTCCTATTTTATGTGCCTAATTTACAATGGAACAATATGCTAATAACTTGCTTACAGCGTTTGCAACAACTCCGCAAGAAAGAAAACAACCCTAATCTTGCCCTTCGAGTCGAAGTCCAGTCAGGGGGTTGCCACGGGTTCCAATATGTGATGTCTCTGTGCGACCTTCCCGCCAATATATCCCGAGATCTCTTCTCGAAGGATGATATCCAAGAAGAATCCTCCCCTGCTCTAAATACTTCATCCACAGATCCAAATGATATGCCTACATCATCGACTCCCTCGAAATCAAAAAATCCGACCACGTTGGATCTTCGCGAAGATGATACAGTATTCAGCTATATTAGTGACCAATCTCACGCTAGTGTAGTTATGGACGTGTTCAGCCTCGATGCCTTGAAGGGTAGCAGAATAGATTACGAAGTCAAGTTAATCGGTTCCGAGTTCAAGATTGTTGACAACCCGGCCGCGACTAGCAGTTGTGGTTGCGGAACAAGCTTCGATATCAAGTTTTGAGTCTGAAGAGGATCGATAAGTGTACTGTAAGTTACTAGATACGATATACCATTTGGGGTTTGGGTTTGGCGTGAATAGCATGGTTTGACACCACGCGGTGTTGAGCAACAGATTAGCGACCACAAGGGCATGCATGTCATAAAAGAATTCTTCCATTTTTAGATGGTCTTACCCACTGCTTCCGGGAGAGTCTTGTATGCGTTGGTAAAATCTCAGAAATATGGCATGTATCAACATGAGCTAAGCATGGGAAGCTTTGTTCTGTGCAAGAAGGGACCTGGGAGGTACCGGAGACAAAAGGTACTACGTAGTCAAATCAATGCTGGAAGACATGAAGAGCAACCAATTTGATAACAATGATTTACAATTTACAAGGAGTGGTGGTGATAGTGATAACGTACACATAGAATACAATAGCACAGGGACAGTACGCAGTACAAGTTGTTTTGCAATAAAATCAAAATGGTATCAATTAATTCATAGAAGTGTATCATTCATTTGGTTTCTTATACGCCATACATGCCAGTAAACGCTAAGCCAAAGAAAAATATCCCCAGTCCCATCACCTGCTTTAGTTCATTTGTCTGACCAAAGCGTTGATCTTCTCCTCACGGTTACCGAGGTCACCACCGAGAACGTAGTGGTTGAACTTTCTTGGGCGGAAACCACCAGTTGGGTTGCTGAGCTTGAATGGCCAGAGGAAGTTGGCAGCTTGCTTGAAGTTGGGGCCAACAGTGAAGATCTCGTGGATCAAATCTTCCATACAGACGATACCGTACTTGCCGAGGTTGGCCTCGATGATGGAGTTGTCGGTAAGAGCAATGCGTTGCTTATCGACCTTTCCGTAACCACGCTTGTAGACGAGCTCACGAACGGTCTTGAGGTTGGGGTAACCATAGGCGATCCATGGCTCGACGACCTTGAGCATCTCGAGGGTAGCCTTGGTCATGCGAACGAAGACACCGTTGTTGATTTGAAGAAGACGGAGGAGCTGGAGGATCTTGCGGGGCTTTGGTGCGATCTTGTTGATACCCTTGATACGGATAACGAAGACCAACTTAGGCTCAGCTGGGATGTAGAAAGAACCAGATTGCTTGGCGACACGAGCAAGACGGATCTTCTCACGCTCCTCATCACGGTACTCCTTAACGTACTTCTCAGCACGCTTGAAGATGACACCACGCTTCTCCTTGTTGGCCTATATGACGAGATAGATTAGCCTCAAGATCATGTAAAGTTTATAAGAACCAATGGCATGTGTTAAACTTTTGTCAGACCCGAAAGATGGTTAATTTGGACAACATCGACGTAAAGTCTAGTCGCAAACATGGTTGTTTATGCATCATATAGAGTAACACATGCCATGTAGTATTGGGGTTGGGTTGTAACACACCTTCTTGACCTTCTCGGTCTCAGCGGCTCTTGCCTCTCTCTCCTTGGCTTGACTCTTGCGCTTCTTCAAGAGAGTCTCAGGGATGAGAACCTGCTGGGCAGTTGGGGTGGTTCTATATCAAATATTAGTCTTGTGTCCCGCATACATATGTATGGAGAAGAGCGCCGAGAGGGAATTGCAGCTATAGCGCAGCATTCTCGCAAAAGGCAAACTCGACTGTAATGATTTTAATCGGTGAAAAATGAACCAGGCTCGACGACCCCTCTTCCCACGAAGGTAGAATCGCAGGACTCAGTTCACAAATATTCTCATCCAACAAAACCTTGGCAAAAAAACCAAGAAATATGCACAGCATAATTGAATGTTTTCATGGTCCTTAGAAGATACCATTGCATTTCCATCCTTGTGCGGCAATTATTTTAAGGGAGAAGATTTTCATCTTCAGCCCCAAGACCCCATACTGCATCTCTCGAAGTGCAAGTCCAAGAACCTGAATCAACGAGGGAGTAGCTTAGGACAGTTCGAGCTGGAAACCATTTTCAGTTTCCAGCTTTCGAGAGGAACGCGACCATATCTGAATCCAACACAATCGATTGACTCTTCGAAGGAGTTTTTGGGGAGATTCTTACGTGGCAGACATCGTGGCGGGTTGTCGGTTTTCGAGGTTGTCGTATCGAAGAGAAAAAAATACAATCCTGAACGCGAAAACTTTATTGCAAATCTGGATGTGTGAAAGTTTTCTCGCTTAAAATGGAGCTAGTAGAGCTAGCTTCGAATTCCAGTGACCGTGCTGACGCGGATATCACGTGGTGTTTCGATTCACGAGCGCCAGAGAACTTCAGCATCAAACTCTTTACTTATATTCTCCAAATCATCTATACAATACGTAAAGAAAAGTCTCAGGTCTTGTTCTAGAGTATTGAAATTTGGGAAATTTAGTCTAAATTAGTCTAAGAAAGTCAAGATTACTTCCAGGTATTTTGCATCACCAGAAACTCAGTATTCAATAATGTCCACGATATATGCCATTGGTTCAAATGGCTCAGGACAACTTGGAATAGGCCACAAGGAGGATGTATCAGTTCCAAAGCCAGTTCTATTCCACGACGATATACCCGAAGGAGTGCAGCAAATCAGAGCTGGAGGTAATCATACTCTCATTTTGTCGACTTCAGGTAAATTATATTGCTCGGGCGATTCATCCAACGGAGCTTGTGCGCTCACTCCTGATTCGCACTCTTCCCATTCGAGATTTCGACGTGTGAAACTCGCGGATGATCCGAAAATTAATGAAGCACCGGTAGTTTTATGTGCAGCAACTTGGGAAGCATCGATAATTGTCCAACAAGATGAAGATGGTCATGCGACTAAGATATATTCTTTTGGGACAGGAAATAAAGGGGAGCTGGGACTGGGAGAATTTTTATTTCGATCATCCAAACCTCAGATGATTGAGGACTTTCCACCCACTGGTTTGCAAGTCGTTGACCTTGCCTCTTCTGTCAGTCATGTGGTGGCCGTTCTAAGTAATGGGGACGTTTATGGTTGGGGAAGTGGCCGAAAAGGACAAATTGGTGAACCAGTCGGTATTGTGCATGCTCCTCGCATGATTGAAGATCTTAATTTTAATGTTGTTAGAGCTGTCTGCGGAAGGGAGTTCACATATCTTTTGGCGGAGTCCTCGAGTGGGCAACATAAAATTTTAGGGTCTGATAAATGGAACATTAGATCTTCAGCACCAGAGAAAATAATGGGTTGGACTGATGTTGGCAGTACATGGGGAAGTATCCTACTTCTACAAGAAAACAAAGCTCTTTTGTGCTGGGGAAGGAATGATCATGGGCAATTAGCCCCACCACAATTACCGCCCGCGCGTCAGATTGCGATTGGCAGTGAGCATGGCCTAGCACTCACAGTGGAAGGCGAAGTATGTGCATGGGGATGGGGTGAGCACGGGAACTGCGGACCAAAAACGAAGAATGGAGATGTGAAGGACACCTGGAATGTGGTGGCATCCTCTAGATACTTGCCACCGGGAGCAAATATCTCATATATTGGCACTGGCTGCGCTACTAGCTGGGTCTGCCTAAATGCATGATAGCCGAAATAAGATGGGCAAATCATTATCTTAACAAGCTACCTGCTTGTTCTTCTCGACCTGTTGATCTCGACGCCAAATTCTAATGTATCCTGGTAACTCACATGTGAGCATGGAAACGCACGCTATATGTCTTCGTATCATGCCTAGGCCTGACTCCGATCTGTACCCCATCTAAGCCACTTCTTATAAGAATCGATCTAAGAGATCACTCGTCAAATATACCGCGAAGCTAATGCTGTTAATAAACTATCAGACTGTGAGATTGGGCCACTTACTTGTGATAGTCGTTGAGTTGGCGCCACACGTTGTGTCGGCACAGTCATGTACTTTTCGTTGGGTTGAACCGAGTCTTCGGGATTACTCTTATTTTGAGTCCCGTGCAATCTACGGCTTGGGTCACCAGCTGACGATTCCTGTGAAGTGTTAGAGGTAGTCTCGGCAGATCTTGACCAAACTTACGTCCACAGTTACATCCCACAATAACATTTCATTGTCCTCATCCTCATAATCAACAGGATCCCATCTACGATCGTCATCGTTCGCCGGCATGAATAGCGCTTGTGATTGGATGCTAGGCTGTGGAGGCGGTGGAGAAGGTCTAGAAACCTTTCTCCTTGTGTTTTCGCGAAGTAGACTCGGGTTTGGACCAACCGGCGCAGCCATCTCGGAGCCTGATCTAGTTCTTTTCAGACTCGATGCGGCTTCTAGAGGCTGCCTTATAGCCGGTTTCTTTGAAACTGCTCGACTTCCGTTTGTGGCTGGCGTTGCCGACGCCGCCCTCGCTTCACCAGTTGTCATAAGGATAAATTCACATTGCATTCCGCCCTCACTATAGGTAAGCTGCATTGGACTAGAGGGGTTGGAGTATAGAGCTCTGATATTCGTGTTGGTTATCCCGGCATGCGCGATGATTGACTTAAAGTCTTTGACGCTGATGACAATATGCAGCTGCTCTTCGACAGTGAACTCGACGAACTCCAAAGTTTCCACGGCTATTGTAGTGCGCAAAGGCTGCTTCAATACTTCTACAGGAGAATCAGTGATTTGAACGATCTGTGGGATCGAGGTGAAACTTGCCATTCCCGGACATGATCTTTTCTGTGAAGCTGGTGAGACTCACGCGGCCATCAACCGAGAAAATATCGAGTTGTTCAGTGCCTGGTCCAAAATGCTCGGCAAGCTCGCGCAGGGTTTTGGAAGAGATCGACCAGCTGTTGTTTGCTGCTTCACTTGAAAATAAGGCATGCAGGGGAGGAACAGCTTCAAAGTTCAGTCGGTAAATCTTCAAGACCCCTAAGTGTGGTGTGTTGGTTAGCAAAAAGAGGTCTCATCGTTGTGGTTCTTGATTTACCATGTCTGCATAGAATCTTTACGACAAAACGACTTTTTGCTACCCTGTCTCCATCCTCAATCGAAACATCACACTTTTCTATGGCAGTATCCTTTTCCTTGAAAGCATCACCTCCGATGCGACCCTTGAAAACCGCGAGTAGAGCCTACCAAACAATCAACTAAAAATCTTTATACTACACAAAATGAAGACATACTTTGTTGTAGATTTTGCAGCTAAACTTTTCCGGTGTTTTGCGACCACTACGCAGTGGCGTATATTGATACTTAGAGAAGAACTTATTTCCCACCAATGTAAAGGAAGCATAAGCGGACTTTGTTGAATTGAGCGTCGTCAAGATAAGCTGCAAATGACATTAGCAATCATATACAATAATTAAATATCTAGACTTACCCTACTATGAGTAGCTTCAATAGATACTGTTTCGCTGAATTTCCCAAGACAAACGAGTGCATCATGAAATCTCCCTAAAGCATCTGGATTGAGTGTGAAAGTTAGGATCGCCATGATGAGTATCACTCGAATTTAATTTCTGCAGGATATTGTAAATGTGAATTGCCTCCCGATTTTATTGTGATATCTAGTATAAACTGGAAGTAAAGTGTAATGTTAATTGAACTGGATCTTCCCCAAGAGTCGACATCACGTGCTATTTATCGCGTCCTGCCTAATTACGCGATTTGCCCCGCGTCTCCATCCATCATCACAAGCACAAATGCTTGAGGATAAGCATCTACAATAGAAACTTACTTTACAAGCATTTAACTCTTATCTATCATTTTCCAGGTCAACATATTTCAAGGTACTAATAACAATCAAAATCAATTAACATTTAACCATCGTCTGTTTACCCGGAGGAGTTGGCCACCGTTCACTTCAGTGCTGCGATATAATGTCTGTGAAGCTCGAAATCGAGGAAAGCCCCAAAGATACCATCTCTAGTCCAGCACGCCACATTACACCTAACGAGCAGAGGAGCATGAACTTACCAGGAGACATACTTCTTCAGATTTGCGAAGAGTTAGCCACTCAACTAGAATTTGGAGTTCTTTTCAATTGTGCTATCTCCGGAAAACAATTGGTTGGCTCGGCGTTGCAGTGGTTATATAGGTAGGTATCTTGTCCAGAAGTCCATTTCCAATACCAAGCTCTTAGCTGATCCCTCAAGGACACATAATGAATACTTGAGAATTATTAGCAGTGAAGGGGAGGCTCCAGAGTGGTCAAAAATCCAAAAGCGCAATTCCAAACACAGCGCGGCTTCGAAGTGGGCAAAATTATGGCAATCCATTGTACGCTCTAGTCTAGGGACTACAGCCTATCCATACTGTCTATACATACGATCGCTCGATCTGACCAATCTTTCGAATCTTCTCGAGGATAGCACCTTCCGAATTGCTGCGATGGATAACTTCTTTGCTGATGAGATGGCAGAGTTTCTAAGTGTAGATGGGACACCCAGAAGACGATCCAAGAGAGGTCCTCAAGTACGACTCAATACTACAAATATTCTCAACCTGATAGGAGAATCTATCACAAGATATGTTAGCGAGCGCGCGGATGAAAATCAGACAACAGTTGCTTTAGAGAATCTTTCAGGGGATATTACATCAGTTGCATTACCAATATGGGCGGGACGCTTATCAAGGCTGAAATCCATGACGATTTGGGACGGGAAATCACTGAATGAGAACGTAGCGACGGTGATATCCAAAAGCTGTCCCAACTTTGACGAGATCCGTATATTCGTGTGTTCAGATGATACCGATCGCAATCCTGCATCATTCATAAAAGGCCTCGGACAGAACAGTCTTCTTTCACTAGAGGTTTTGTCTAACTGCAGGATTGGTCCTTCTTTTCTGACCGCTTTAAACCATCATTCCCAATCACTGAAAAGCTTGAGGCTACAGAGCCTCAATTCGGAAGCCATCAAGAATCTCAACATTCTTCAAAGATGTACTGCGCTTGAGACACTCGATCTAGAGGATAGTCAACATACTGTGGACTTGGAAGCTACAGAGAACGATGTATTTCTTGAAGTCATCGAATGGCTGGGGCGCTGCGAGAAGCTCCGAGATCTAGTTCTAAACAGAATTGTTTGTGCTCCAGCCATTTTAAAGCAGGTTTGTCTACGAAACGATATCCGACTGCAACGGTTGGTAGTCACTGGCCCTTCTCTTGTCAATGATACAGAATTTCATAGAGCGATCTCACACCAGACTGAACTCGAGGTCCTTGAACTCCGAGGTGGTTCGGACGAGGTATTTAGAGTCAGAGATGATATTGATAACCTTCTCACATCCATATGTCAACTTACTAAGCTCAAGGAACTTACCATCATGGAATCGTTTGAATATTTCAGTAGTAACGAAATCAAACGTCTCGCAACAAGCCTGCCGCTTCTCGAAAAGTTTCACTTTTCAGGTTATGGTATTGGAGATGAGATCTTGCCTTATTTATCAAAATTACATAATTTGCGGGATGTATCTATCGCTGCGATCTCTAGTTTCACTCTCGATGGCTTACTGGCCTATGTTTCGACTTTACGGGACACAAACCAAGGTCTTGTACTTTCAGTCATGAGTCAGAATTCCGACCAAGATCTCGCGCCCTTAGAGTTACAACTCATCCGGGAGGGAATGATCGCGAAAGTAGATGGAAAGTTTGACTTCGCACTGCTGAGAGAGGTGGCAGAATCGGAGTTTGATTCTGCATCCGATTAGATTGTATGTATTACCAACAGATGCGAAGAACGGTGTTTGGGGGCAAGTGGGTTTGGTAGGATGTCACCAAGGCGCCAATTGGGTGTTTTGCCTTTACTGCAACAAAGAATCAAGAGAACATGCTGCTAATACGGAAGGTTCATTTGGGAATGGCGCAAAGCTTATGCGGATTATTGCTGGCTATCGCATAATCTTTCTCATAATAGTCTATATAGATAGCAGAAACGTTTGAGAAGCATTTACAATAGCTGCTTTCTCTTCAGCAATGTCTCTAATGAACAGATACTAGATGTTTGAAGCTAAATTGTATCTCATTCGATAGCATTTATACAATAATTTCTAACATTCATTCATTGCATCCCCTGACAAATCACAGCATAGCACTATATCGAACAGCAAATTTGTCTCCAATTATGAATTTTACCAACCACATGCAAAATTCCGTCGACAAATTTTCCAATCTCATGACTCAGCATGTCCGGAGCCTCCAACATCATTAAGTGTCCAATTCCATCCAGGACTTATCAACGACTTTCTTTCCTCTGCCACCCCACTCAGGTCACGTAATGTTTTCTTCACTCTTTCTACCGTTTCAACCCTATCATCCCCACCAGCTAACACCTACGTCGGCAAAGCGATGTTCCTCGCCTCTTTCAATGTATTCTCTTGCATCCCATATTTCGGCCATGCTGCTTTCGCATCCTGGTTGCCAGCTAGCGCATTCGTAGCTAAACTACTAACCACATGTTCAGAAAGAGGTGAAGAGGACTGAACATGAGCAATGACGAAAGTAGCAGCTTCAATGCTATCATAGGCTGTCAACTGCTGCTTTGTCATTTCCTCGGGAAGAATCAGAGGCGTAGGAGGAGCAGGCGCAAGAAGTATGAGGGCTTGGAGTTTTGGAAAAGATTCTCGAGGAGGAATGGATTCCATGGTAGAAGAGAGATGCATAGCAACCTTTCCACCCATTGAGTGGCCGATCAGAATGAATGGGTGATTTGGTGGGAGAAGCTCGGCAATGAGAGTGAAGATATCGTTGGAGAGATCCGTGATGTGATACGCATCTGGATCTTGTGGGCAGAGGAGCCCCAGCCTCGGAAATCAAGAGCTAGGCAATAGTAGTTGGAGGAGAGTAGATTAATGAGAGTAGCATAAGTGCTAGAGGAACCACCCCAAAAATGTAGAAATATTGAGGCTGGCGAGGAGTGGAGCAGTTAATCTCGTAAAGACTTGAGTTTGTCATCATGATTATTGTGTCTGTAAAGAATGAGCTGCATTGAAAGTATTATACTGAGCGATGAATGAACGCCTAAGGTGAGTTGAATGTCTGGATTGAGCTAAAGGTCCGAATCCAATCGAGATGAGTGCTAGACCTGCAGCCAATGTAGATATATACTACCTCCAATGCATAAAGGGGGGCGGAAAGCGGATATAGCAACAATTTTTTGCGGATAAACATGTCCACCATCGGTAGTAGAACGGTTTACACGAACACCCGAGAAAGCGTCTTGGATGTTGGTGAAGACAACAATTCTGAAAGGATATTTTCAACATCAAGGACCACTCCCTCTACTTGGTGACTCTTGTATTGGAATTTCCATATTTTCCAGGGGTTTTCCGCCGTCCTCAAGATTCACCTCCTCAGATCCCTCCTCCTCGACTTCTTCCTCCTCGACTTCTTCCTCCTCGACTTCTTCCTCCTCGACTTCTTCCTCCTCGACCTCCTCCTCCTCAGCCTTGTCCTCACCTGCTTTCATAGCTTTCTCTTCTGCCAGCAGTCGATATTTTCTCTTACTTTTCTTTACAGCACTGCTTTTCCTCTTCTTTTTGGTCTCCCCTACAATCGCAACCCTGCTCTCCTTCCCTTTCTCCAACAACTCAAGCCTTTCTGCTAGCATTTGTCGAGCTATTTTACGATTCTGTGTACGGGAACGGGTGGCTTGAACTTTGAGAACCATACCTGTTGGGATATGTTTCAACTGCACTGCGGAAGAGGTTTTATTCTATGGAGTGGTGAGTTATAGTTCCCGACTTGAGACTCAATGGCAGATGTGCTTACGATTTTCTGACCTCCCGGCCCACTGCCATGCAAAAATACTTCAGTAAAATCCGCTTCATCAATGGGTGGTGGCCGGTCGGGCATCTTTTTCTTCCATAATGGCGTTGTATTGCAAATGCTGCGTTTAATCATTGAGTTTGAATTCACAGCAGTAACATTTTCAAGGCCGGTGCTTCTGGAAACTATTGAAAGTAATCCTCGCCGCATTGTACATGTTGACAACCTACTGATTGCCATAAAATACATTGTTGTAGTTGTAAATTATTTCCTGTATTGTAATTCCATCGCATTGATTAGCATAGTGATATAGTGAGCTTATCGTCACCCCGGAAATTTGATATTCAGGTACTTATTATATTATACTCCGTGCGGGCACTCAAAACCAAAAGTTCCACTTCCATTATTGCTGCATCGTTCCACTTCTTCCCTTCCCTCAACCTCAATTTCTCTCATATTCATCTTCACATCGTAATTTTCTTTGTGTACAATTGAACTCCCCTTCTCTAATTAATCAATTAAACAAGACTTAGAAATCTCAGCTCTTCTCACTGTCAATCAGACTCGAAGAAGCACGCGGTCAAACTACGAGAAACAGAGTCAATTGTACAAATCTCACAACGATAAGGGGTAAAGATGTCTATGTTCGCATCTACATTTCGATGGCTGCAGAGGAAGAGATATCAATATGAGGTATTTGGGCTCGTCAAAATCCAAACAGAATAGATTCTGACACATTCGAACAGGTCACATTCTCATTGTATATGTTGACACCCACAGAGAAATTTATATTTAGTATGTCTTGTAACCTCTCGGCCGGCAGCCTCTTATTCTTCCTCCATTGGTTGCATTGGTTGCATTTGTCCACCTTCTTCTCGAGTCTTCAATTTAAATGCATGTGTGGCTAATATCTTGTTCTGCAGATTCGTTCCTCTTTCTCTTCTTTAGCATGGTCATTATTGCCATGACACTTTATCTCCCACAACACATTACATTTCTTACCAACCGCGCCTGGTTCTACTACAATGGAGATGAATCCGCCAAGTCTGCCCTTACATCTGCGAGTCCGGTGATAGAAGTAGTGGCCAAGGAAACCATTGCAAAAGCTGCCGCGGTTGGAGTTGGGAAGGAATTATGATTTTGGACTCTCATGCAAGAACGTATATACCGGGGGCCGTGTACCAATATCAACGATGGGATGTGAGAAATGAAAAAACACGGCAGTGACGACTGAATTTATTTGTTTTCATACGGGAGTTAATGGTTGCGATGGGATAGAGTAGATGGACATACACCTAGCACTGTTGTAATACTTATTCACGAGGTGGGCATGGAACTTGAATAGATATTTTGTTCGGGAAGCTGCTATATCTGTCTTCATGCTGGTGCTTTATGAGGTCATTGTAAAACGTGTATTACATTCTTCTTGGCGGGTACTATGCGGAATTTTGTCTAGCTGCCATGAGATGCTTCATAGTGTTGTACATCAATTCTCCAACCCCAGGGAAACCTTTGCCCTCCAGATATCTCAAGACACCCAATCTATAGTCTTGCCACGATACAGACAACCCACCGTCATCTTGAAGCTTCTTCAAAGAAATTTGTGTTACTGGCCCAGCGTGTCTTACATCAATTTTATCTTCAGCTTGGTCCTCTAAATCCCTCACATATGTAATGGCAAGATGACATGTTGCTGGCGAGTACGAGATACTGAATAGGGGGTTGAGTGAAAGGGGGTTTTCTAGACTGCGAACGTACAAAGCCGAGGCTGCCATCGTCTGTTCTGGGAGTAAACAGCCAAGTGCATTCACATCTGATGTGAGGAAAGCCCGTGATCTCCACAAACAATTGCAGATATCCATTAGAAAACCATTGAAACGATTGACATATTCCTTGGGATATGACTGATTTCCAAGTACAGTCGAACCCGTGCGTGAAGCCATGGCCATCTCGAGAGATTTCTTGTAGAGGGCCAAGATGTTGCAAATGCGGGAGATGATCGATAAGTTGGAGCTGAAGAAGAGTGTGTAAACAAGTTGAGGCGGGGGGATAGCTATCCGGACTTTGGATGTTATAGCTGGGTGAGATATTAAGAATGCACTCGCTTCGTAAAAATCAAGAATGTTTGAGTGAGTGGAAACGCTTGAAGACTGTTCTAGTATTGCAAGGGCCAGCTGATTGGCGTGGTTTACCAGCGCGGCTAGATCTGTACCATAGTTTTTTGAAGGTAAAGTCTCCGAGAGTATGCTGAGATGCCACTGGCTGAGCAAAGCTTTGTAGAACTTGAGGAGAGCAAGCTGCGACTCATGAGTACCATCTATGACTGCATCTTCAACTAGGGTGAATATTTTTTCGTAGAGGTCTACTGCTTAGTTAGTATTGAAAAATGTTGTATGATTTGTGGCATACCGTTAAAGAAACCAATGGGAGTATAGCTTAACAAATCTAAGATCACATCACGGTTTGTGATACCGTTCCAACAAGGTAGCAAGGATTCTAGATATGAGAAGCATGCCGAAGGCAATATCTAATATTTGTTAGCAGATCGAAGCAACATCTTGTAATCCGACCAACCTTTGTGTATCTAGTGTATTGGAGTATAAGTTCGAGCATATCTGCTATCTGAGTCTCGGAGGATCGACCATTCTCTAAATGATCTTCGAAAAAAGCCAGAAGCCAATAGTCTATGCGTTGCAGCGTAGTCTCCGAAGACCTGAGATGCAGCAACTTCTGAAGCAACGGGTCATGAATACTAGCCACTAATTGGTTTGGGAGCTCAATCTTCTCAAGCTTTTGAACAAACTCATTGACATCTCCTACTTCCTCTAGTGTGATTGAAGTCTTGTAACTGGTTAGAACTGATCGGAAGCTTTGAAACGAGCACTTACATCTTGGGTATACGATGTATATACTTCAGGTAAAAACCCGTGCTTTCTCTCTTTGGTGGTCTTTCGGGATACACGGAACTTTTGATGAGTTGAGACAAGCTTGTCCTCTATTCTCTGAAGATGATGTTCTTGGATCCTGCCGAGCCTTTCCCTCCACTCACGATTTGGATGCTAATAATATCAAAACATGCGTTATGAATTAAAATTTGGTGAGAACTTACCGTAAACACTGAAGCCTTCCCCGAAGTCACATCACCTACGATGACCTCGGGATAGTAATCTTTGTATACCCTCATAAGTCCTACCAGAGCTGGGTCGTGACCCGCTTTTCTTGTCCATTGCATTCTGAAGGAAAATTAGCAGAGCCTTGTACAATATCTTGCTCTAACATACAATGCCTGTATCCTAAATGGTCGAACGTGTTTTCGACGAGTGATAAGGGACAACACGTGACACAGCTGTGACCTTGCGAATGTTAGCTGCGTTGCCATAGTCTAGCAATCTAGGTATGGGTAGACAGTACCTGAGGGCAATAGTATCAAGTAAATTAAACAGTACAGCATAAAGTTGTGACAAAATCTTTGGATTCTCCAAAGCATCATAGACCAGGACTATCCATTTCAACAATGCGGCCTGAGCTGCGTAAGAGGGTTTGGCTTTTCCATGACCCAGGGCTCCCACTAATTTGATGATTACTGCATCTGGAACTTTGCTCGCTGGATAAAGATGCTTGATCAGATTCCCAACACTCCCTTGATCGAGCTCGTTGGGCAGAGTGAGGATGTCAACAAGCTTTTCCAGCGACGCATTAGATAACCCTTCTTCATACGCTCTCGAGCATAGTCTATCCACGTGGATTGAAACCTTTACCGACCGTTGCTTGGCAGGAATACGTGATGCTATATTGATTGTCAGTATTGATCTTCGCTATCATAAATAAATCTTTGGTAGGTAATGTTTGTGGTCGCGTAAGACGCGTTTGGATCTTACCGTTCTGCAAATCATCAAGAATATCATCAACATCAACATTGTATTCGATCCCAGAAGGACTCTCCATAGCTTGTCAATATCTGAGTTGACACAATTTAGGTATAGTCTTATGGTTGTTCGTAAAGTTTTGTGTGTATATTTTTGATGTTCTTGCTTCTTGGAAGGGAATCAAAGAAGGGATGAATATTACCCGACTTACTTACATTGCTATGGATTCCATGGTTTCTTCTCCGAAAGAATTCACCAAGATCCTTTCAAATTTATCTATATAGATATATATGCATTATACATTCAATTCACTGTTTTGTATACTTATTGATATCCTCTTTTATCAATGATGTTTAGCTAATTAAGAACGTTACGAATCAAACTAGATGTCGACAATCAATACTTCTCCTCGAGTGTTTATTATACACAGAATATTCCTATATTTATAGCATATAATTTACTATTCTACATCATCATCATCAATTTGGGAGATTGTATTTATGCAAATAAGAAAGCTGGAAAGGAAAGTAGTACGTAAATAAAGGATTAGCATTACTCGATGTATATGTATGTAGATGGATACTTGGTACCTCGCATTGGGTATTGGCTATGCAGGCATTCCAAATATTTCTACATATACATATTTCGATCATCTGGAGCAATAGAAAAAATCCAAATCGATAGATCCAACCACCTACAGTATCTAGGTATATTCAAAATCGTCCGCATCGTTTCGTCTTGGTTCCTGTGTAACCATAAAATATGCGCAAAACCCAATAGATGGCATATCCCTGACGACTCCTTTCGCGTTCCTCAGTGACCGCCTCAACCTCGAAATTCTCACTCATTCGCAACCTACGCTTCTTTCACCGATATTTATGAATATCAACATTCCAAAAGATCTTCCACATTAGATAATTAGAGATCTTTCCTCCGTTCTACCTCAAAGACGCCAACGTCATTGGTAGTTAGGCCGTTGAGCCTGCACATCCAGGCAAATCTTATCCCAATCTAGCTATGATTACAATTCATACGACATCTTTTGATACTGGACGAGACTTCTCTGCCATACACATACAGTCTTCGGGCTTTAAGCTCTCGATGTATAATGTTGCTATTACATTGCACCGATTGTGAAGTCAATTTTCTTTGCTAGGAAATTTGCACCGCATACTCAAGAAGGCTTTATATGGGTATGGTCAAGAAGAACAACCCCTGCTGTCATTCGAGTGAACAGAATTGACGAAGCCACGCATGAAATGCGTGCCAGCAGATGAATGTACTCTTTGGCAGTCGATCGTTTGAAATCTGCGACCCCGTTCTGGTGCAAGGGGGGTGGTGAATGACAAGCATGTGTTGGTGTTCTACAAGTCTACTCCTTCGGAATGCCCGCGAGAAGCAGATGGGAGCTACTCAACTCCAGAGCACTTCTTTTTTTAATGCAGATGCATTGCGAATTTCTACTCGTGAGCAGAAGGGCTCCTGAGCGTCGACTTGCTGCGCTGGTGGTGTGGCCCCAGACCTCGTTTGTTGTTCTTGAATTCCCGCATTGTAAGGCATTCTGCTAGAACATGTGATGTATAGACGCCAGATCTATACATAGCCCATGAAAAACTCTTTGTCTTGTCAGGCTTGGCTATGTCTCTGCTTTGGGTATGCAAACCATTTTATGAAATTCAGTCAATCGTCGATTTGGGCGAGAACATGGCGTTCGACTAAGCATCGAATTATCGTCTTAGCATACATCTTCATGTTCCAGCTAGAAGCTAGGATGGAAAGATTGAATGAATGTACAAAATTGGCTGACCTTCCTGGTCTTAGTTTACCCTACTTGACATGCAATGCAGGCACTAGCCCTGATCACACACTAAGCATGCCCTGACTCTAAGTTGCCGAGATTTTTGATACCTGCGGAATACAAGACGGAGAACAACTTAAATGTTCTTCGGCAGTTCAACAGCCGGCAGAAATATGGCCTGAATTACAGGAGAAGAATTTTGGAGTCTTTCAATAGATTCTGGTTACTGAATCATTTACAACATCTTCGAATTATTGTTAACATTTGCTCTACGAGAGTAGTTTTGGTGCATCGCATTAATTCTTGTGGTTGCGGCTACTATTCCCTCTGCCAAACAAATTGGTAAATGTTGACAGTCGTTCCAAAGCTTCCATAGTATTAGCAGATGCACCGCGTAATGCCTCATTAGTAACAAAAGATCTCTTTTTGGACCTCCCAATGAATCAACCTTTCATTTATAGTGTGGTTTTGCTCTTCAGCCCAGCACGCGGATGACCCGGTTCGTGCGCCGCCTGCAAGGTTTATGGAGGGGGGGGGTCACACCAATTCGTCTTCATCCTATGATATCTCGTTTCTAGGCTCGATCGACTAGTTTATCCCTTCTTAGCAGGCGGCAGGGTATGGAACCCACACTCTTTTCGCATTGGCGGCAATCTAATTCGGTCAGAGTCAAAGGGAACGGTGTATTTGTGTACTTGTGTAAAAGTGGACTTTCGTCTATTGCTTGATCTTTGAACAATTTAAATGCTATGTTATCACCTTACAAGGAAATAACCGAAGATTAGGGATGTCATCAAACCAGCCATAGAAACGCTGAGCAACCAAGCTGTCGGTACATGCCTTCCTATATCTTCTTCTCTAGCTTTGGCTGTCACAATCTTGGAAACTTGAGGTAGTTGTGAAACGCTGATGAAAGGCCAAAATGTTGATTTCAAAACAGGTCTCAGCTACGCTATGTCGTCCTCACTTGCGGCATCAGGAAATATTACAGAATCAATGTATACGCCTTCACTTCTGTTTACAACATAGTTGCAGTGGGCAATCTAACTGTATATAGCGACACCGACGAAGATTTTATCTCTGCCTCATCAGATATATCAGAAGATCAATCAGATGATAGAAATACCTCAGCTACGATATTGAGAGATTCTGCGGATTTCTTGTCGAAAATACGATCGCTTCGCGAATCAGACGTCCTGGTACTTCTAACTCCAACTGTAGTGCCGATCGGTCAAGACATCACAGACACCAGTGATCCTTTTGAGTGTTTGGGACGGGCTCTGGCGAAGAGACACGCCAAAATCCGGCATATCCCCTATACACGAAGGTGACTGGAATATCCGATTTAGCAAGGTCCATACTAACCAACATAGAAACGGTATTACTTCAACTCATTTAGGTTTCATAAAAAGAAGCCATGTCATTATACTTTGTTTCGTGGATCATCCCGAACATCAGCATCAGTTCGAGATCGCAGAAGTCCTCTTTGCAGTCAGCGATCACAAGCCTTGGTATGCTTAATCTAGTATATTATGTCATTTTCCTGGAAGTTATACTTTGATTGAAGGGTTTCTTAATATTTCCTACGTATTTCCAAATACTGTCAATTCTCAATCCCCTTGGAAGTCTTCCTTTTGAACAACTACTAATTTCTGGGCACATTTTAGCCTCATCATGGTATGCAGTGATCAGGTAAATAAGCAAGATTCGATTCCGTTCCCTACAGTCATCTTAACGTCCGGATATACACCAGAAGATATGGAAGCCGCAGCTGCAGTGATCTTTGGGGAGCGGGAACCCAGTCCTATCATAGGGATAACTAGTTCTGCGTCCGGTATGATGGAGGTAGCTCGACCCAAGCTTTGGGCCGTTGACCAATGGAATGAATCTAGAGATGTACTGAGTGTTCTCAAGCTCTGGAGTGACAATTTTGATGTCCGGTTCTCCATTGACGTTGAAGCTTTCGCGTCTCTACTTCGTCGCCCAGGTTATGCAAGGCATTATGTAGTGCGGGACCCAAGAACTAGCGAAGTTTTAGGTTTCTGTGCTACATATCTTTCATACGTTGATCAAGAAGGTGAAAGACTCATCGCAGCACTGGCGATCATTGTCGTAGGAAAGACGTATCGACAACAGGGCATTGGTCTTAGTCTTCATAATCATGCTATTGCACAGTTCAGAGGCACACGAGGCGTTATTCGTCTTCACCTGGGGAGCATCTTTCCAAGGCTGCTGTACGGGCCACCCCTTTCTTCGTCCGCAGAATTGACTGCGAATGATGAGTGGTTCCACAGAAGAGGCTGGACACTCAACAAGGAGTTAAGAGGTCAGGGACAACGTGTGTACGATCTGATTCTTGAATTCACCAAGTGGAAATATCAGCAAAATCAACGACAAGAAAAATTTAAGTATCGGCAAAGTGTACAAGATGATATGGTTGAGGTGCTTCGTTTGGTCGAGGAAGCATCTATTAAACAGGGTAATATGGGATGGTTCGATCAATACTTTGCTCTAATGAACGGACCCAACGTGAAAGACATTATCATATGTCTGGAGGGAGATCAGATCATTGCAACGGCGCTCACATACACCCCATTCTGTGGCAGTTCCGTATCTTCTAATTTACCATGGGCAGGGCGAATTGGCCATGATGTTGGTGGTGTAACATGCATATGTGTTTCTCGTAAGTGATCTAAATTGCTTCACTATAATAAATCTTTTGATACTAAATGGTCCGAAGCGCAGAGAAACGAGCCACTAGGCCAGGAATTACTTGATGCTTGTATCAAAAAACTATACCAGCAAGGTATGAGGAGAATGTTTTATGACGGCGTAGTAAATGATGTAGACGAACTAAAACAACTAGGTGAGTGTCACTTTTATTCACATGCCTGGAAAGCGACTGACTTTTCAGGTTTTGAGGAATGGGCAAAGTACCGCGACGTTTGGAAGGACGCTTAGGTAAACGGACTAGCCTACAGGACAAGGGTATTTAAACATTGACTTCATTCATTCCTACTGGAAAGTCCACTGAGGGTGCCATAGAGACTCTCCTCTCATAGTGACGAGGGTTTAATTTCTCCGACTTTTTCCCATCAAGTCAAAGATAACAAGAATAACAATTATAGCTCCGTGTTTGTATTACGCATAATCCTCAAAATATCATATCCGACACATTGGGCATTAAAAGGATGACACTAGCATGGACCTGCTGCAGATTTGGAGCGTGTCATACACATGGGTGATAGGCGAGAGCTTGGATAAGTCATGGAACTATTCCTTAGCGATCAAAGCAAAACTGTTACTCGGCTGGGTTCGTACTACACTGAGGACGGGGATAACATTACGGTAAGCACAATAATGCTTGATCTTTAAACTCGAGGCATAGGATATTCAAAGTCCAGACACTCTCCGCGCTTGGTATTCTAATATTAATCATGGTAGATCAGTGAAGTTACAATCCAAGGACTCTCCAACATCGACGCCCAAAATTCTAGGTCACGTAGCACTAGTGTTTGCAATCTTTCGATCTGAAATTAGACTGCATGAACGGGGACATCGAAACGTCGCACAAGATTTTAGAACCTGTGTAACACGTTCAGAACGCCACGTCTGCATGAGATCTCCACTAAAGCCGCTCAAGAAAGTGCTGTGGTTGATCACACTCTTTCTAGGTATACGACCTGCCGAAAAAAGGTATGTGTGATACCACGTTAGTCAGACCTTGATGTACTTGATCAGCAAAAGTTAATTGTTACACAAGCTCCATCGTATCTACTGCTGCCTGACGGCTACGATACCTTAACAAAGAGCCTTCTTGATTTGAGCAGGTGCATAAGATGCGACATAGACTTTGTGGACCGACATTCTACGGTCTCACCTTCTCTTCTGGATCTTGGATGTGGCGTAAAATTCCAGTGATTATGATGATGACTTGCTATACCAACTGGTCTCAAGGCTCAATGTATGGTTACATGTCGGGCGAGGGCATTCCGGCTTGTCACCCGCAATGCTTCTGGAAATACATAACATCCATGTACAAATGTTGCGGCACTGAGATTAATTCTGCGCCGCAGATCGTCAATTCAGGTTATAGCTCCAGCTTCTCTTCAAGCTCAATGCTTATGTGAACATTTGTATGCATCATCTCATACATGGAATCCCATTTTAAAGATATATAGTGGATCGCATTTCGAGAAAAATTTCTTCGCGTCATTTCTCACTATCGGCCAGTCACAACATTTCTTTCTTAGTGGGGCTGCATATTTTATTTTGAGACCCTCGCCGCCCCCATGTTATTGTGGTTCGATGTTTGGTATACCCAAGAATTCAAACTGTAAGCCATGTGAGTAATTGATTCTTTGAGGAGGTTTTGACGCATGTTGCCTTTAAGAGGATTAAATGTCGCTGAGAGCTCTTCTTGGGATATACTTTGAATAGTTACTGTTTTTATGTCATTTGCAAAGCACTTCAAATGTGCGTTCAAGTGGCCAGTACAAGATCCCCATTTAACTATCTCCATAATTTCGATTTAATCTTGCCATTTCCAAGTAGGAATATGATGCCATCCGAAGAAGACAGAGCAAGTTTAATGCGCTATCATGCTAATATGCTAGCGTCACTCGGTATTTGATTCTCGTGCAATTATACTCGGAGGAAATGACAAATAATAATCATGGTAAATTCAATGTATCAGCGTCGATTGAAACGAATCCCGTCCTCCTTAAATTCTCGCTTGTTTAGCTTCCGCGCTACGGTACGGACCGCCGTTAGTCTGTGCGTATGGCAATAATTTCTGTCCATGTATAAGATAGAAAGAACACGGACCACTCTATCTTCCTCATTCACTTTCTTCCATTCCTCTCTTCTACTTCCATTAACTTGTGCTTTCAACTATTTGATTCGGTGCATGTTCACAAAGTTAAACTTGTCCCTTCACATTCCCACTTATGCTTATATTCGATCCACTCACGCTCCGTCTACTCGAACCATTATCTCGGATCTCTACTTCCACATTTACCATTCTAAATTTTCAGATCCTCTACCGTGAGGTCCCACTCATGCCCAGCCATGACCTTCCTAAATATCCATACAGCCTAACTGCAATGCAACCACAGCTCGCTGCCCCCCATACGCTAATGCGCTCCCCTTTCCCAGTCGCACATGTCACTCCATCTAATTTGTGATCTCCTGAAGGGTTGTTAAGAGAATTATTCATTCTTTTCGTTCGTTTACTTCCATTCTCAATTTTGACTCCACAAATTGCTAGGCCGATTTTCGATATGAGAATCCCGTATGTTTCATACGGACCTTCGAACAAACATATCTTGTGTTCTGCAGATTATTTTTAAAGTTTCTTTCCGTGCGATGATCGATTTGATATTAAGGAAGGAACCTGTAATGATCGCTGTCTCCTAGACGTAGCTCGTCTGCAGGGATTTTTCAATGGTCCGGGCTGCATTATAGATCCGAAACGCCGGCTCTGCTTTCCTCTCGAAGTTTCCAATGATTTTAATACTCTTAATATCATCAATATTCTAGAAGAACTCAGCGTTTGTCACAGCATAGGTGTCTCTGATATATTCGCAAATCTAAACATAATCATTGTTTGAATGTTACCCGGGTATTAAAATCTCCTATCCACGATAATGACAACTCATCGTCTGTATCTGCTGAAATTCCCCGCAGCTACCCCAGCACAGATATTCCTCATATAGATATCAAGTACAGTGTTGCAAATACAGCTGTAACTACCACCATTTAGATCTGAAACTAGTGAATCAATATAGCACAGTGTCTCTCAAATCCATATATTAAGCATTCATTGTGCCGAGCGTAGCTCGCAGAGCCAAGCATGCAGCCCGATATAAGAGATTAAGACTCATAGACTCAATATGGATGGATGAGACTTTATTGAACTATCCCCCGCTACCTCTGGAATGTCCGAATCGAATATCAGCACTTGTGTGTTCGAGTTTATGGAAATTTGTGTTGAAGCCTACAGGAGAGATATCATTGCTTTCGCTATTTCATTGTTATCTCTGCATCGTCTCCCATTAGTCATACACCTAAAGCTGCCATAGTATTAAGTTTGTGCAACTATGGCGGATTGATTGTATCATTTGTCATCATCTTGGACTGGCCGACCAGAGCTACGAAATTGTATTCATTAAAACTCTTTCACGGCGTAATGTTTGCAAAGTCGGTGAACACGTCTGTTAAGTTTGAAACTGAATCCGAAAAGGGGAAATTGTCAGTAAAAAAGATGGCCGATTGGTAGAACTATCCGACTACCACCTTGAATATATGGGCCTTGAAGCAAATATTGCAACACTAGCTGTATCCAATTCAGCAGCAGAAACTAGGCTTCAATATCATTGTTTACATATTGCAAAGGTCGAGATAAACGCCTTCAGCAGAATACCGACAAAGTACCGATGGCGCGGAGAGCATATGTGTGGGTATTTGAGATGAGGATATTCGTAATGGCTGCATGATAGCTTGGGAATTTCTTCATTATAGATTCTGCCCATGGTGTATGAAAGTAAACAGGGTATTGAAATGGACATGTCGGGCTAGATTACACACTTCATGTCAAAAAGTCATGTTGGTCGATTATCTCCTTGTGCCTGAGATTTACAGTGTACCCCTATCGCGTATCCATTCACACCCCGCCGACTTTGACCACTGGGAACATCCAATTATGTCACCCCTTATCAACGTTTGCACTTTACAATACTGCTAAACTTGGTGACCATATCTTGCTCACTCTTGTAAAACATCAATCTTCGTGCTTATTTACAATGCAATTAATATGCTGATCTTTTCCACAGCAGTTCTCAGCAATCGACGAGTCAATTCCAAACCCAAGGAGAAAACAACCGAGGACTACAGCACACGGAATGGCCAGGCTTTGATTGCCATTACAATCTCTCGCAGCCAACGCCGCGAAAGGCAGATGGATGATATAGAATAAGAACGAGGAAACAGTCATGACATGGAAGGAAATGAAGAAACGGCAATCGTTCGGCTGTTGCCGGTCCCCATGAGTGATTCCTGGAGCGACTGAAATGCTTCGAAAAATCTGTCCAGATCACCCATCCACCGAGCTTAAGTACCTACTACCAACTTAGAAGATCAACCCTCCATATTCTACTCTGACCTTTCCAACCCATTGACTTCGAGCCTCTGCAAAAGCCAAATTTCGAACCCGTCATGTTCTCGCAGGAAACACCTTACTATCGAAAATCAGCCCACGACCGGATCAATACAATAATATGCATACATTAGAGCCTCTTACCCACCGACGTCGTCCAAGTTCAAGTCAGGGCGCTATCTCATCATCATGCCGTGGTTTCTATCCCTTGTAGAGAGATTCTGCTTGGAGTTATATCCTTACCATACCTCAACCATCGACCTCGTCCACCGCCACCACTCTTCCTACTAAGATTCTATACATGTGTTCTCATTTTTATCCAATAGAAACACATAGGAGCATCACATAGTCAGCGTAGCATTTGGCTATAGATAGACTGAATCGATTATGAATCTCCTACTACTGCTACTATATACTCATTCCACCTCCCACAAAATCTCCCAATATTACCACGACCTCTCTACTTCTCAATCTTCTAGTATCTTAACCTCAACGCTCCACTCCTCAAGAGCAATCAGCCATTCAAAGCATTTGAACCCGAGCTTCTGTTTACATCTCCATCTCCATCTCAATATGAACACAGACCCCCCATCACTCCCCTCACATCCGATATACCTCAACATCAAAACCCACACTACCTATCTCTACAGTCTACACTATACCCTACCAAAGAACCCAGCGTCCCATTCCTATCATCCATCATCCTTATCTTCACTCAACCCAACCCGACGAGCAAGAAAATCAAACGAACAAAAATCCCAAGAACCAAGAACCAAGAACCAAGAATACCAACCCAAGGCGAAGGAGGACGCGCACAAGAAATCAAATCAATACACCCCATATACAAACCAACCAACCACCCAAACCACACAAACAAATTCCCCAGCCTTCAGCCTTCCCAATCCATCAAAACTGCAGTCCTACCTACCATGTAGTCGGTACTTCGTATATCCTTTCATCACTTCACCATTTAAAGCACAATACTCTTTGGATCATTAGTAAAAGTTCACGTACCGTGTTATACTACACAATATTCTGCGCATTTTGGACATTTGGATATTTGCAAATTATAGAATGTGTGGTGTGATGGGCTCACGATGTTCATTGATTTCTGAGAGTGAAAGATTCTTCCACATCTGATTGATCGGGTTGGGGATTTATGACTCTGAGTGCGGTGGTGATTTGAGGAGGGATGGATGGCGGGGGGGGAGGGGGGAGGGAGATGGGAAGAGATAGTTGTGGTGTGTGATGAATTTGTGAGGATGAGTGGCTAGTAGATGTATTTGGGAGAAGTGAAACATTCATTGAACATAGCATAACAGAAATTGCAGGATAGTGAATAGAGTACGGAGTTAGAGTACAATATAGATATTACGCACGAAAGGACAAACATCACGTGGGTAAAAATCAATGACATAGATGAAAGAGATTCTGATAGAAAGACTTTTGTTCCGTTATACATGATCGATGATCGATTTCATTTACCATCACCATCATGATCATGCTTTTTCGCCAGCAACCTCAACCCACTTCTCAACCTCTCCAAAACTTTCCACAAGAACCTGCCCCTCCCTCTCCTCTGCAGTAACCTCCGCATTCCCCTCTCTAACCACCACAAAACTTAGCATTCCAGCTTCCCTTGCGGCTCTCACCTCCTTGATATTGTCGCTCAAGAATAACCATTCACCCACCTCACCCAACACATTGTTCGCCTTGGCAATCTTCTCATAACTCGCCATATCCTGTTTCAGCCCCGCATTGACGGCATCCCAATATCCGCCTTCAAGCTCACTCCCATCATCTCCTTCGAGCCCATTCCAAATGCAACTCCTCAAATCTCCTTCGGTCGTATATCTCCACAACAACTTCTGCGCTGCCACGCTCCCACTACTATAGATACAAATCTTTGCCCCATTGTCTCTCCACTTCTTCATCGTTGGGTATACATCTGGAAGAAGTGGGCACTTCAATTCGCCCGATTCATAACCACGAAGCCAGAGATATCCTTGAAGGGATTTGAGGTATGGGATCTTAAGATCCTGAGCCATGAGATCGCGGACATGAGAAAGAAGTGCGTCAGGAGTAGAGGCGTGTTCAGGCGGGAAGGCAGAGCGATAAGGGAGGAAGGATGGAGAGTCCCATTGAGTTGAGAGTGTTTCTGGTAGAGTTGCGAGAGCGTATGG